AAATAAACCATTCAAATCACATTATGAAATTCTATGTAGTCTGCAGTAAATCAAACAAACGAGCTTCCACATGGATTACTTGACATTTTTGTGAAAACTGGTGTCACACCCCATGTTCAGATATCCAAGAATTATCTACAAGCAGTATTAAATCAGGGAAGTGTTTTTGGGTATGCCCAAATGAGATCAATCTGTGGACTAAAATCACATTGGTATTAAAAGAGGATAACATCAAAGCAGCCTTCATAGAAAACCTGCAAACAGATGGGAAAATAAAAAGTCTGGGCTGGATGGTATCGCCCTTGGTGCTGGCCATGTAGTCAGAAACTGTAAGGCTGGAGGTGCTGCCCTGGTAGACCGTAAATGTGGGGCTGGAAGTGCTGTCCTGGTAGACAGTACAGGTGAAGCTGGAGGTGCTGTCCTGGGAGACAGTAATGGTGAGGCTGGAGGTGCTGTCCAGATAGACAGTAAATGTACGCATGAGGGAATGCATATAATGGCCTCGAGGGAGACAGGAGCTGTAGTGGGGAAACAAGTGTAGTCAAAGACAAAATAAAACCAATATTACAAACTAGTAATACCACAGGAGATAGCAAACAAGGGGACTCCACTAGCAGTAGTGAGGGTATATTACCAGAAACAACTGGTGAGAGCTCCATTGTTAGTACAGTGGACCCTCGACTAACGATATTAATTGGTACCCGAGAACGAATATCGTTAGTCGAGTTTTTTTTAGTGTTAGTCGAGGCAAAATGTTAGCGTTAAAATGTATCGCTAGTCGGATTTAATGTTAGATGATGCCATCATTGGTCGAAGGTCCACTGTACTAGTGAAGATAGGAATGAGACAGATAAACATGCACCAACAGGGAATACAGCCACAAAAACCCAAGGCAAACGGAAACCAAGCCTGTGCACATACTATGCACCTGGTATCTGCAGGCATGGGAAATCTGGAAAAACAGATGGGACGTGCAACTTTGACCACCCTAGAAAATGCCGTGCCCATATGACAACAGGAAAATGCAACCTCCCTTCCTGTAAGCTTTTTCACCCTGAAATGTGTCCCTCTTCAATACAGGAAAGACTATGCTATAACTTAAATTGCCAGGCACACCATCTAAAGGGGACAAAAAGATACAAAGCATCCAGGCCATGGGAAAACCTGGGTAGCCATAGCCACTCAAGAAGGAGAGTTTTTTTAGTGCCAGGAAAGAAAAAAAGCTGGCAGGAAATGGCAGAAATTGTACACCAAATCCAGTCATTTCTGGAGTGGAACCACAGTTGATGGCCTCCATTCCAAACCAACAGATACAAATACTAGAGCCGGAAAAAAAAGTCTCCCCCAATACCGCCAATACCACCAGTCCGATGACATTCTTCTTTGCAAGTATACAGGGTCTAAAGCCATCAACGAACAACAAAATACCTTTCATCCATGGACTGCTTGCAGAGGCAAATGCAATGTTCGCGGCTTTCACAGAGACCAACATAAAGGATCACTTGGACAACGAAATATGGATCCCAGGTTACAACCTATACAGATGTGACAGAGTGAACAGGCAAAAGGGGGGGGGGGGGGTTGGCCTGTATATTGCAGTCACTTATTTGCACAGAACTGCTTAATGCCTCAAATGACATAGTGGAAGTTTTAGCAGTAAAGATCGAGATCCAAAACCTAGTCATTGTGGTAGTCTACAAGCCTCCAGATTCAACGTCCCAGCAATTCCAGGAACAGCCGTTAAAAATTGACCGCTGTCTAGAAAATCTTCCAGCTCCTGCCCCCAACATCTTGCTCCTGGGGGATTTCAACTTGAGGCACCTAAAATGGAGGAATATAGCAAATAATGTTGTTGCAGTGATAACACCAGGAGGCAGCTCTGACAAAAACTCACACACACACGAGCTTGTAAATCTCTGCACAAAATTCAACTTAAACCAGCAAATAATAGAGCCTACTAGACTGGAGAATACACTAGACCTCATCTTCACTAACAATGATGATCTGATACGAAATGTCACCATATCAAAAACAATATACTCAGATCACAACATAATCGAGGTTCAGACATGTATGCGCAGAGCCCCAGACCGACAAAATGGGATTAGTCACGAGGGAGCCTTCACCAAATTCAATTTCAATAACAAGAACATAAAGCGGGACCAAGTAAACCAAGTCCTAAACGATATAAGCTGGGTAGATAGACTAAGCAACACAGACCCCAACTTATGCCTAGAACAGATTAACTTGGTGGCACTCGATGATTGCTCAAGGCTTATTCCTTTAAGAAAAAGGAGGAGTAGATGTAAAATAGAAAGAGACAGGCGCTCCCCTTACAGGCGACGGAAAAGAATAACAGAGCGGCTAAAAGAGGCCAATATATCTGAAATGCATAGGGAGTCACTGGTCAGAGATATAGCAAACATAGAACTTAAGCTAAAGGAAACTTATAGGAGTCAGGAATCGCGGGAAGAACTAAAAGCCATAAATGAAATCGATAGAAACCCAAAGTATTTCTTATGCCAAATCAAAGTCGAGAACAACATCCAGTATTGGGCCCCTACTTAAACAAGATGGGTCCTACACAGATGACAGCAAGGAAATGAGTGAGCTACTCAAGTCCCAATATGACTGTTTTTAGCAAGCCGCTAACCAGACTGAGAGTCGAAGATCAAAATGAATTTTTTATGATAGAGCCACAGAATTTGGTAAACACAAGCCTATCTGATGTTATCCTGATGCCAATTGACTTCGAACAGGCAATAAATGACATGCCCATGCACTCTTCCCCAGGGCCAGACTCATGGAACTCCATGTTCATCAAGAACTGCAAGAAGCCCCTATCATGAGCTTTTACCATCCCATGGAGAGGGAACATGGACACTGGGGTTGTCCCACAGTTACTAAAATCAACAGACATAGCCCCACTCCACAAAGGGGGCAGTAAAGCAATAGCAAAGAACTACAGACTGATAGCACTAACATCCCATATCATAAAAATCTTTGAAAGGGTCCTAAGAAGCAAGATCGCCACCCATCTAAATACCCATCAATTACACAACCCAAGGCAACATGGGTTTAGAGCAGATCACTCCTGTCTGTCCCAACTACTGGATCACTATGACAGGGTCCTAGATGCACTAGAAGACAAAAAAATGCAGATGTAATATATACAGACTTTGCAAAAGCCTTCGACAAGTGTGACCATGGCATAATAGCGCACAAAATGCATGCTAAAGGAATAACAGGAAAAGTTGGTAGATGGGTCTATAATTTCCTTACAAACAGAACACACAGAGTAGTAGTCAACAGAGTAAAGTTTGAGGTGGCTACGGTGAAAAGCTCTGTTCCACAAGGCACAGTACTTGCTCCCATCTTGTTTCTTATCCTCATATCTGACATAGACAAGGATGTCAGCCACAGCACCGTGTCTTCCTTTGCAGATGACACCCGAATCTACATGACAGTGTCTTCCATTGCAGACACTGCAAGGCTCCAGGCGGACATCAACCAAATCTTTCAATGGGCTGCAGAAAACAATATGAAGTTCAACGATGAGAAATTTCAATTACTCCGATATGGTAAACCTGAGGAAATTAAAACATCATCAGAGTACAAAACAAATTCCGGCCACAAAATAGAGCGAAAAACCAACGTCAAAGACCTGGGAGTGATCATGTCAGAGGATCTCACCTTCAAGGACCATAACATTGTATCAATTGCATCTGCTAGAAAAATGACAGGATGGATAATGAGAACCTTCAAAACTAGGGATTCCAAGCCCATGATGACACTCTTCCAGTCGCTTGTTCTATCTAGGCTGGAATATTGCTGCACACTAACAGCACCTTTCAAGGCAGGTGAAATTGCTGACCTAGAAAATGTACAGAGAACCTTTGCGGCACTCATAACGGAGATAAAACACCTCACTTACTGGGAGCACTTGAAGTTCCTGAACCTGTACTCCCTGGAACGCAGGCGGGAGAGATACATGATTATATACACCTGGAAAATCCTAGAGGGACTAGTACCGAACTTGCACACGAAAATCACTCAGAACGAAAGCAAAAGACTCGGCAGACGATGCAACGTCCCCCCAATGAAAAGCAGGGGTGTCACTAGCACGTTAAGAGACAATACAATAAGTGTCAGGAGCCCAAGACTGTTCAACTGCCTCCCAGCATACATAAGGGGGATTACCAATAGACCCTTGGCTGTCTTCAAGCAGGCACTGGACAAGCACCTAAAGTCGGTACATGACCAGCCGGGCTGTGGCTCGTACATTGGATTGCGTGCAGCCAGCAGTAACAGCCTGGTTGATCAGGGTCTGATCCACCAGGAGGCCTGGTCATAGACCGGGCCGCGGGGGCGTTGACCCCCGGAACTAGTGTACTAGTATGGGATGAGTTAAGGTTTTTATTATACATTGTCTAAGCAAATAATATCTCAGCAAAAGGATCCTTATCCCACTTTCCTTTCCTCGATGGCCTCTTTCCTGGCCCTGCTCCAAAGCCCTCAAATTCTCCTCAAAATGCCCCTCCTAGCAGTATTGGTGAGGCTATCCTTCATGTATGATTTATCACACTCATAACTATGGTTAGGCTTACCCAGGGGACAAAAGGAATACACCCAAAAAATCATACCATAGTTATGTCACAGCATTATCATTGGTATTTACTATCAAGCTAGTACAATACAATATTTCCTCTGTAAAGGCTGGGTGTTGAGTTATCCTGGTTATTTTACCCTGCACTTGTGTTAACATATTTTCCACTTCAGTTACTTTCTTCATACCACTGTTGTCCTTACCATGGAATACCCCCAGAAAACTCTCTGTTGTGGTCTGATCATGTGACGGCATGTACAAAATAAACAAATATTTTTGATCCCCACTTGTGCACATTTTGTCCCTGTGTGAGTGTGATCAGGTGTGTTAAGCATTTTATAAAAAAATATAAAAGGTTTATGAATAATGAGCACTAAAACATTTTTAATTGCAGGTCAGAACTATGGCTTATGCTTATGCTCTCTCACCTGGCAAAGAAAAGGCCTCTGCCCTAAGTAATGTAAGATCAGGATACAGAGAGTGTACAGAAACTCTTTGTGCTTTGGAAGTACAAATTGAGCAGCTCATTGGCACACTCACATTAGAAATGAAAGGTAAGCCTTGGGAATGTTTACTGAAATAATTTAATGTAACAATGTTTATATTTGAGTTCTCCTGACTTTCAAAAACATCTTCACTGCTTTGAATTTTCCTTCATTAACAATTGACGATGAGTAAGACACACATGCAACACTAGACATTGTTATTAATGAAACATTTTGCCTGCACAACAGGCAGAATGTTTTGTAGTTAGTAGTTATTGAATGCCATTAATTATTTAATATTAAAACTGCATGTAATGTGTAAAACCTGCAGTGCAGGTTTTACACATTACATGCAGTACAATGCTTATGAACAAGCTACACCATTACATGCATTACAATGCTTATGTACAAGCTACACCATTACATGCATTACAATGCTTATGTACAAGCTACACCATTACATGCATTACAATGCTTATGAACAAGCTACACCATCACAATATTTCTTTAGAGAATATTTCAGGAATTCTTATTTGCTTTTTTTCATGCAGCAAGTTAGTCTTATGAAATGACTTATTAGATTATATGTAGTTAATTAAAATGTAACGACATAGTTAGTTGTTTAAATACAGTATATGTAGAAAGGCAATTTAATAGTTAAAGTTATGCCAATGGACTTTTTCTTGTAGGCATACAAGGATTTGCCCGGCTCTGCCCTGGAGACGTGTTTGAGGTGACACTCAAACATGGTACTCAGAAGTGGAAGTCTCGAGGCCGAGTCTGCAAGGATAACACTCAGAACTGGGATAACCAAAGAACTGTTATTAAAGGTCTCATTGGTGAGATGGTAAGTTACCTCCATTGTCTTATAAGAAAACTTTCTTAATAGTTTGTCTAATTCTTAGTAGTCTGTAATCATTAAGATTAGTTTACTTGAAATGCATTGCTTGCTATTGGCTTTCCTTTGTGCCCAACAGTGTTGGAAGAGTACTTGTTTGGAAAGCACAGCAAGTCACATGTAGCTGAGAACATGACAGTTAAGAGTTATGTGGATTTCAAAAAGCATAGGATTCTTCAACAGTGATACAGTTTCTGGGACTTTTCTTCAGATAAGTAGAATATGTATATGAAAGTGGGTCTTGCTTTAAGAAAACAAAATGGCTTACTTAGACAATAATCGACAAAATATTTTTATGCTTGTGTTCAATCTGATTTGAAACACTGTTAAAGTTTAAACAGTATTCTGTGTACATTGAGGTATATTATAATTTACAAAGTAGAGTGGAGTGTGATCAGGGTAATATTTAGTGAAGGGATTCAGGGAAACTGGTTATTTTATATAGCCGGACTTGAGTCCTGGAAATGGGAAGTACAATGCCTGCACTCTAAAGGAGGGGTTTGGGATATTGGCAGTTTGAAGGGATATATTGTGTATTTTTATACGTACGTGTATATACTTCTAAACTGTCGTGTTCTGGGCACCTCTGCGAAAAGAGTGATTATGTGTGAGTGAGGTGAAAGTATTGAATGATGATGAAAGTATTTTCTTTTTGGGGATTTTCTTTCTTTTTGGGTCACCCTGCCTCGGTGGGAGACGGCCAACTTAAAAAAAAAAAATTAAAGAAATTTTCCATTGTTGGTTCCCAAATATATTTAAAAATATAAGAAAAAGAATAATGTAATAAGTCACTTACTGCAAGCAATAATTTGAAGTTGTAATAATGTTGGTAGAATTACCGACAATATGTAAAGTAAAAGGACACAAGTGCAACTAATGTGACATTTTATTGTGGCAACGTTTCGCTCTCCAGGAGCTTTGTCAAGCCAATACAAACAGTATATGGACACAGAGGGTATATAAAGGCTCAGAGTGAGGTGCAATACTAGTGGTAGCAGTAGTAATACAATATGGTAGAGCAATTAATTCGTACATGAGTAAAAGGATATAAAAGCTATTATTTGGGTAACATAAAAATAGATTGGACAAATATAGACTGGATAGAGAAGACCTGTTTCAGTGTTCACTCTCTGTACTGTGCTTTGTGTAGCATAACAGGAAAGACTATGTGATGGCAGGGTTTACTGTTTTCAGGAGGATTCTTGCCAAGACTTCAGAGATGGTGAAGCTGCCGTTGTTTTGTTTAATTGTATTCAAAACAGCGATCAGTGCTGATTCGAGGCACTTGCGTCTGCGGAAATTAGTTTCTTTGATCACTAATTGGGCGTCCCTGAATTTCATGAGATGATTGGTGGAATTTCGGTGTTGTACACAGGCATTGTTCAAGTTATCGTTCCTACATGCGTAAATGTGTTCATTGAGGTGGGTGTCGAGGTTTCTTGCTGTTTCACCTACATAAATCTTGTCACAGCCTCCACAGGGTATAGTGTAAACCCCTGCATTGACTGGTTTGTGGTGCTTTGATTTTGTCCTGGTTAGATCCTTTATTGAAGTGCTAGAAGCGATGGCGACTCTGGTGTTAGCTTGTGAAAGTACTTTTGAAACGTTCAGTGCAACCTGGCTGTTGGGAAGAATTATAACTTTGTTGGGAGTGGTGTTGGTGCGTGGAGAATTAATGATCTGAAGAGCTCTTTTCTTGCAGTCTTTGATGAAAAAGGAAGGAAAATGTAACTCAGTGAAGGTTTGGTGAATGTATGTACATTCTTCGTCAAGAAACTCAGGACTACAAATTGGGTATGCTCTTAGGAAAAACCTGATGATGATGCCTCTTTTGGTCTTGGTATCTTGACTGGAATAGAAGTGTGTGATATCATTTTTATTGGTAGGGTTCTGATAAACTTGAAATCTTAGGTTGTTGTCTACTTTGTGAATGAGGACGTCGAGGAAAGGTAGCTTGTCATTGGACTCTTCTTCTAGTGTAAACTGGATCACTGGTTCAACTGCGTTGAGCCTTGCTTGAAGATTCTGTACATCAAAATGTTTGGGAGTTATTACAAGGACGTCGTTCACATAACGTAACCAAGTGATGCTTGAAGGGATGATGTTGGCGAAGTGTTTGGACTCTAGGTGTTCCATGTATAAGTTGGCTAGGACTGCACTGATGGGGGACCCCATTCCCATGCCGTAGGTTTGTTTGTAGAGCTTGTTATTGAAAGAAAAACAGTTGAAATTAACACAGAGTTCTATCAAGTCAACAAAATCTCCAGGAGGTAGAGGAAGATTAAGGTCCTGATTGACTTTACGTCGTAGAACCTCGATGGCTTTTATGGTAGGTACTTTTGTAAAGCAGCTGGAACTGATGGGATCATGACAGAAATGTTAAAAGCAGGGGGGGATATAGTGTTGGAGTGGTTGGTACTTTTGTTTAATAAATGTATGAAAGAGGGGAAGGTACCTAGGGATTGGCAGAGAGCATGTATAGTCCCTTTATATAAAGGGAAAGGGGACAAAAGAGACTGTAAAAATTATAGAGGAATAAGCTTACTGAGTATACCAGGAAAAGTGTACGGTAGGGTTATAATTGAAAGAATTAGAGGTAAGACAGAATGTAGGATTGCGGATGAGCAAGGAGGTTTTAGAGTGGGTAGGGGATGTGTAGATCAGGTGTTTACATTGAAGCATATATGTGAACAGTATTTAGATAAAGATAGGGAAGTTTTTATTGCATTTATGGATTTAGAAAAGGCATATGATAGAGTGGATAGAGGAGCAATGTGGCAGATGTTGCAAGTATATGGAATAGGTGGTAAGTTATTAAATGCTGTAAAGAGTTTTTATGAGGATAGTGAGGCTCAGGTTAGGGTGTGTAGAAGAGAGGGAGACTACTTCCCGGTAAAAGTAGGTCTTAGACAGGGATGTGTAATGTCACCATGGTTGTTTAATATATTATAGATGGGGTTGTAAAGGAAGTAAATGCTAGGGTGTTTGGGAGAGGGGTGGGATTAAATTATGGGGAATCAAATTCAAAATGGGAATTGACACAGTTACTTTTTGCTGATGATACTGTGCTTATGGGAGATTCTAAAGAAAAATTGCAAAGGTTAGTGGATGAGTTTGGGAATGTGTGTAAAGGTAGAAAGTTGAAAGTGAACATAGAAAAGAGTAAGGTGATGAGGGTGTCAAATGATTTAGATAAAGAAAAATTGGATATCAAATTGGGGAGGAGGAGTATGGAAGAAGTGAATGTTTTCAGATACTTGGGAGTTGACGTGTCGGCGGATGGATTTATGAAGGATGAGGTTAATCATAGAATTGATGAGGGAAAAAAGGTGAGTGGTGCGTTGAGGTATATGTGGAGTCAAAAAACGTTATCTATGGAGGCAAAGAAGGGAATGTATGAAAGTATAGTAGTACCAACACTCTTATATGGGTGTGAAGCTTGGGTGGTAATGCAGCAGCGAGGAGACGGTTGGAGGCAGCGGAGATGTCCTGTTTAAGGGCAATGTGTGGTGTAAATATTATGCAGAAAATTCGGAGTGTGGAAATTAGGAGAAGGTGTGGAGTTAATAAAAGTATTAGTCAGAGGGCAGAAGAGGGGTTGTTGAGGTGGTTTGGTCATTTAGAGAGAATGGATCACAGTAGAATGACATGGAAAGCATATAAATCTATAGGGGAAGGAAGGCGGGGTAGGGGTCGTCCTCGAAAGGGTTGGAGAGAGGGGGTAAAGGAGGTTTTGTGGGTAAGGGGCTTGGACTTCCAGCAAGCGTGCGTGAGCGTGTTAGATAGGAGTGAATGGAGACGAATGGTACTTGGGACCTGACGATCTGTTGGAGTGTGAGCAGGGTAATATTTAGTGAAGGGATTCAGGGAAACCGGTTATTTTCATATAGTCGGACTTGAGTCCTGGAAATGGGAAGTACAATGCCTGCACTTTAAAGGAGGGGTTTGGGATATTGGCAGTTTGGAGGGATATGTTGTGTATCTTTATATGTTTATGCTTCTAGACTGTTGTATTCTGAGCACCTCTGCAAAAACAGTGATAATGTGCGAGTGTGGTGAAAGTGTTGAATGATGATGAAAGTATTTTCTTTTTGGGGATTTTCTTTCTTTTTTGGGTCACCCTGCCTCGGTGGGAGACGGCCGACTTGTTGAAAAAAAAAAAAAAAAAAAAAACTTTTGTGAAGAGGGAAGTCACGTCCAAACTGCTTAGTTTCTTGTTACGGATGGAGAGGTTTCGGATGCGGTTGAGAAGGCCGCCTGAGTGTTTAAGATGAGCAGGGCTGATGGTCCCCAGAAGGCAGTTAAGATGTTTGTCAAGAACTCTGGCTAGTTTGTGTGGAGCACTGCCTATACCTGACATAATTGGTCTGAGAGGAATATTGTGTTTATGGGTCTTGGGTAAACCATACATGTGTGCTGGTTTAGGGTTGCTTAGTAACAAGTACAGAAGTTTCTTCCCTTCTCTAGTGCCGGAGTTCTTGCCAAACATCTTTCCTGCCTTCTGGGGACCATCAGCCCTGCTCATCTTAAACACTCAGGTGACCTTCTCAACCGCATCTGAAACCTCTCCATCCGTAACGAGAAACTAAGCAGTTTGGACGTGACTTCCCTCTTCACAAAAGTACCTACCACAAAAGCCATCGAGGTTCTACTATGTAAAGTCAATCAGGACCTTAATCTTCCTCTACCTCCCGGAGATTTTGTTGACTTGATTGAACTCTGTGTTAATTTCAACTGTTTTTCTTTCAATAACAAGCTCTACAAACAAACCTATGGCATGGGAATGGGGTCCCCATCAGTGCCATCCTAGCCAACTTATACATGGAACACCTAGAGTCCAAATACTTCGCCAACATCATCCCTTCAAGCGTCACTTGGTTATGTTACGTGGGCGACGTTCTCATAATAACTCCCAAACGTTTTGATATACAGAATCTTCAGGCAAGGCT